ATCTTTCTGCAATTCATTGCAATAAATATTAGGCCACTGTTTCTCCCCCTCTCGGCTACCACCAAACAGATTTGAGTTTGGAAATAAGGCGGGTTTCTGCTTGTATGTGTGTGGTTTTTTTTTGTTTTGTTTTTTTTTTTCTCCTTTTTCCCCTCTCTCAACGTGTTACACTGAACAAGCTTTAAAGGTGAAAATTTTTACAAGGTGAACATTAATGAGTTTTTAGGCCTTTAAGCATTATATTTAAGTGGACTCCACTAGCACAGCTCACACTTCTGACAGAAGAAAGCAGAAACTCCAAAAAAATGATTCGACACTAAGTAAACAACTCACCAAAAAAATAAAAATAAATAAAAGAAGTATCCCAATACGTTAGACGGGCTGCTTTCAAAAGAGAGACTAAGTAACGCTGAGCAGCATCCAGTTACTACCAAAATGGTGCCTTACAGGTTTTGAACTCAAGAGGGCAATGGAGAGATGAATATGAAGCCTCTGAAATGAGGCACGCAGTGAAAAAAAATACTCGTACGTATTAAAAACAAACTACAAACATACATTACATAAAGAGGGGACAGTCAACAGATTATGCAATGCTGACATACGATGCTGACACAGATGAGTTGAACACGTATCTGAAAAACTTGCTGATTAGTGACAACTGTAAATTAACCAGCATCATTAAATAATGTTACTGGCACGAAAGAAAAACTGCAAAGAAAAACTTGGTAAAAACAGATGTTCAGAGGTTCTGTGCATATAATGGCAACTTTTCAAAAGGTACCACTTTAAAAAAAATGAACCATTAAATATTAAAATATTATGAGACTATTATTCTTCCGGAGGAGAAATGGACTTCAGTAACACAGGACTTCAGTAACACAGCACAAAGGCAGAAGCGGGAATTTTGCATTCCAGAGGGTGAAGTGATTAGAGCGGGATTGCTGCTTTATGGTTCAAGCATGCCTTGATCTCACACTCAAGGTTTCATTCCGCGCTTCCGGAGTCACTACTGAAGAGAGAAGGTCCACGACCACGGAGCTGAACGATCCCTCCTCAGCGGCCACCGGCACAAGACGACTACCGAAGCCACACGCACCCTCGGGGGGGTGATGCCATTTCTCTAGAGGGGACACTCCAATACAAACATGGCTCATTTCCCACTTATGACGTGCACATGATGATTTTGCATTGGTTAAGTCAGAATAAAAACATACAGACCTAATGTGAAAACCAAACAGAATCAAAAACGGGCAAAAATCAGTAACTAAATGCCCTATTATTATCCAGAGAAACCCCCTTCTTAAACTTGAAAACAAAACAAAAAGCGGTAGATGAGGATTTAGGAAGTATTTTGTTTACCTTATTACTACAGTACTGTATACATCCATGATCCTTCTTTAATTTGCTGTTGCGGTACTTTCTGCCAGATGTTGTTTTTGAAAGTCTGACGGGTTTGCCTAGATGCTCTTTAAACTGATTCTACCTCCTGCTCCTTTGGGGCTGCCAAGCCAGTGTATGTTTTTAATTGTAACTGTTTAATTGTTTTAGATGAAACAAAATGCCTTTAACATTACAGGATCACTGATATGCCCCAACCCCTGGTGATTCCTCACGTA